GTCAGAGCTCTCTGTCAGTGCCAGTCTGGGGAGACTGGTATCGTCAGAGCTCTCTGTCAGTGCCAATCTGGGGAGACTGGCATCACCAGGCCACTCTGTCAGTGCCAGTCTGGGGATACTGGTATTGTAAGAGCTCTCTGTCATTTCCAGTCTGGGTAAACTAGATCACCAGAACTCTCTGTTGGTGCCAGTCTGAGTATACTGGCATCACCAGAGCTCCCTGTCAATGCCAGTCTGAGTATACTGGCATCAGGCCAATCTGCATCAATATGTGATGTGATTGGCATCAATAAAATGCTCTCTGAGCCTTCGTGCATCACAACAGTGGCATCCCAACATCATTCTCTCAGTGCAATGGTGCCATTCTGGCTATATCTGTGTTACCACAGCGCTCTTGGCATGCCTGGCATCACCAACCCCACTCTCTCAATGTGAGTCTTGGTATAATGGCAACAAACACAGCACACAGTGTTATCAGAGCAGCACTCTGCCAGGGTGTGCTGACATTCCTCCACAGTCTAGACACACCTCCGCAACTGCGCCAGTCTCAGATTTTCCCAGGCCGCACAAAACAGCTCTAAATTCATTCCATTCCCCTTTATCTAGTAAAATAATCTGTCTATACTCCTGCTGCAGTCTCTCCCTTGCTTGTTTCTCTGTCCTCCCTGTTTTACCACTTCACTCTCGCTCTCCCTCCCTCTCGCTCTCTCTCTCCCCTGGACAGTGATTTATGAGTGTAGGGGCTCTGAAGTCCCTAAAGCCATTACTCATTTCCAACGGGAGCGAGAGCGGGAGTTATTTTGGGAAGGAGGAATGCAGTGTTTGTCATTGATTACCCACATTTTTCTGCTTCGTATTGTGTATTTTTTAACCTTGTGTATAATTTATGAAAGGATACAGCCGGTAATTAAACAGGCAAAGTTGAAGAGATCTCAGCCTCAGATAAAGAGTTCTGGATCTCCTCTCCCAGCTCCCTCTCTTTCTCTCCAGTTCCAAATTCAAGTTCAAAGAGCTTTATTGGCGTGACCGACCAACCACAGTGTTGCCAAAGCAATAACAGTTAGCAGACAGTTCTAAATGCTCTCTCTCTGTTCCTCGGGCTGTGACCGGAGATCGCACACTGGGCTGCAGCTCTGTTGCGTTTCCTCCCCCAGTAGGAGCAGTAGCTGTTCTGGTCCTGGCAGGAGTGGGAATTCTGGGATGGGAAACTGGAATTTGGGGGCAGAGTGTCTAATCCCTCGCTCTCTTGCTGTCAGGCCCTGCACCCCTGCTTTCTCCTCTCCCTTTTGAACTTCTGGGATTCTCTCCGTTTCCCGTTTTCACAAACACTTGAAGACGGCCTTCTCCCACTCCCCCTTTTCCCTGATTTCTATGTTGGATCTGCTCCGTTCCCGGAGACATTGAACCAGGGCCGTCCTATGCGGCACCTGGGGCTTCTCCACGATCTCCTGTGATTTCCCCCGCGGGGCAGGGCCGGGCATGGCCCCCGCTCCGGGCTCTCGGAGCGAGACGCGCAGGGGGAGGCTTCTCGAAGTGCGAAAGCGTCTGGCGGAGCGTCTCTCGGCTCGGCAGTTATTGTGGCCGGAAGTGGAGAGGGAGGGGTGGG